GTTGTGGATGAATAAACAAACAAATGGTCTTTACTCTGTTCTAAAGTATTACGACTTTGTCACATGACTGTCACTGTAATACATGCCTCTTTTATACTCTAATAGATCTCGGACTTGACACACTGAACTTCCGGTTCATTCGTCAAATAGTACAATTCAGCCATCATCGAGATTCAACTACTTCAACCCTTCAAGTAGATGAAATAGAAATCAGAACCTTGTAGACTTCTCAGGTTTCGCACAGGGGCAGCGGAGCCATCTCATTTATTGTTATATGCAAAGACGCCATTTGAATGAAGCATTGTGACTGTTGTCAGGGTATCCCTCCATCATCGTTGGCAGTTTGATAGCCAGTATCATACTGAGTGAATTTAAGATGTCCGTATCTAGATGGGTCACCAATTGTAATGTAGTATGGCGCCAAAGAAGAACACCTTAACCTATCGTTGGTTGCTCAGCAGCATTACTGGTTACATGAAGTCATAAAAAGGGGCAAACTGCGTTTTTCACTAAGCAAGTCTTAATTTGCAATTACTGTTGACCTGCCTGTATGGATATTTTCAAGGGTGCTGTACAATTTCACCCGAGTGGTTATAAACATGCCTAAAAGCATGACTATATCCGTTGTTTCCATAAAATGGAATAAATTTATTAAAGCTATTGGCTGGGATTCTGATGTGGGACGAAAATGCTTTTATGTAAGAAATTTATTAAACTCGGACTATGGATAGCTAGTGTAGGCAAAAGATAATTTTGCGGGCGTTTAGTGCATCATAAGATCCAAAATTCATAAGTTTCTTATGAAAGCTATCTGTATTTCATAATTAAGTGGACCCATTAAGTTGTACTCAGCTAGTATACTCTTTGCGGGCGTTGATAAAATCAAAGGTGTGCAGGAAAAGCATCACTTTTGTTCACCCATTACCCAATGCCAGTGAAAATTATTTAGGGCCGAGTTTGAATGCATGTACGACGCCAGCGAGAATCGCTCGAATCAACGAAAAATTCAGCCGAACTTGACGTCATGATTTACAGCGGTACTTGATAGATGGGAATGGCGCCGGATGTATTACCGCTCAGCGAAGTATGTAAGAGTGAACCGGGCTTGGTATAAGTAATATTTGGTCCAGAGATCAGGATGGTATGTAAAACAAATGGCTCCTGAACACCCTTTCGTTGTGGGCCGTATATTTTTGCAAGGACATTCGATGAAATACATCTGACCATTAGTTTCTCATCGCTCAATCTACTACACAATACACAAGCTTTTCTATCGCCCCCATATATGGTTGTGCAACATCAACGTAAAATATACAAGCTGTTTTGCGCAGAATTGGGCAAAATACAACTTTTGTTCAATTTAAAACATTTTAGAACATTTTACAAACCATAGCTTGAGAACAATCCGCATTGTCTTCATTTCAGAAAGCATCGTTTCTTCCACCCCAAAGGAACAGTTTTTACTGCACAACGAATTCTCCATTAGTCAACATTGTTTTCAATGAACGAATAACTGAACGCCAGTCCTACTTAAGGGATTCTCATTGCGATACCCAAAGACGCTTATGCCAAACGTGCCTTCGCCGGTCCTGTTGGAGAGAAAGTGCAGCAATGAATTCTTCCTCGGATACTTGGGATCAGACCTTAGGAGATGAGTTGGCCCAGAAATGGGAGTTATTGGGAGATGCAAGCGCGAATTTTAAACGCGCCAAAGGTTGGTATATGCTCCTATAGTTGCTCGAATGGTAATTATTAGTACTATCGGAAATTCTCTGAACGTTTTTACGTGTGGAGTTGTCAACCAATGCGTGTCATTACTTGGAGGGAAAATCTTGAAGTACGTGGATTTTGTTCGACTGACAGCAAATCTGGCCAAAACTTATGGCATGTATATGGTAGAAATAACGACGATAGCGTATATGACGGTACCTGTGTGTGACGATGGTATGCTTGCGTGTTTTCTTTGCTTGATTTTTAACGGTCTATTATAGCAGCACACTAATCTGTTCACCTATTATGATGGTAATCCCCTCGGTTGCCATGCAAGCATGATAGCTGACGTCAATGGACGCTGATTTGCATATAAGGGTATTTTACACATTCTAAGGAAAACTGAAGTAATTAACGGTGGCTTATTTCACCCTGACGCATCACTAACGGTTGGCAACGACCACGTCAGGTCAGTTAATGTGTAATTTTAATCCACAAACTTTGGCACTGGGTTACCTGGTTGAGTATCGTTAACGGACGAGTTTAAAATCCATAACAGGCTCTTAGCAGTTCGTCGGTACGGAGATTAGACAAAATGTGGAACCAGGTAGCATTTAGTTTCACCCTCCAATGTGCCTGATGTATACACCAGCTTCTTGTGACCGGAGTGCATTTTTAACAGAAGTCATATATTATGGCCAGTGTAACCGCACACATTATGAGAATATCTTTCTAATGTGCGGATAAATGTGGAAAGACTGAGCAGTGAATTATAGTAGGATAACACAGCCTTACTATGGCGAGTTTTACGGTTTGATGTTTCTGATTACTCCTTTGCAAAAGCAGCTTACCCCCGTAGGCCGGAAGCTCAAGTGTTATATACTCGGTGTATTAAGGCCACGTTATTTCAATAAAATCCGATCAAGCATACGGTATGCTTTGATACACTTCGTGTAAATAATCAACCGTCTTTTTGTACGAGTGGTTGGAACGGAAATGACATGAGGTACAAAAGCAAAATCGAAAGAGACAAGTTAATATGAATGTTCACAGTGGACCATTTTCAAATATGTGGGAGAAAACCGATGTTCATATTTAAATTAAGGATTCTGCGAGCATTTTGTTACTCGAGTCGTGATAGTCGCATCTGTAGGTTGCGCTAAAGATCGTTTTGATTCTTCGTATTCTCGGTCGACGCGTTTTATTTCGCCTCTTGTCCTGGAGTCGCAAGTTGCGTATACCTTCTAGGCGGATGTTTACGAATTAAGGTAGTGAGCCACCCTGACATCAAATAGATTGCTATTACGTTAAACGTGTTACATCATTGAAGAACGCGACTTCTGCTAATCAAGGAGTCAGGGGAATTACCAAATATCTACCTTATGTATAAAATTAATAACCACACATAGCATAATCATACATGTGTGGCCGGGTGGTTTCTTAGCCACCTGACGACGCTATCATCCGGTTTGCACGTCGGAAATTCAATTCAGTCCATTTTGGAGATTTGAGTTGCAGACATTTCCCGTAATCACACCGATGAGATAATAAGATGTTCATAAAAAACGCTCAACCACATACATAGTTGTCCGTAGTTCCAATGAAAACTTTTCGTGTAGTTGTAAGATATTTACTTGGAACTTGAGACAACCAGAGTTATAACTCTCGATGAACTCAAATAAACTAGGGTCGTCCTTCTTACTGAACGAGGTTATGCACTTACTTATGACAAAACAATGTTAAATCATCATTATGTTGTCTGATTTTTTGTAGTTTGCCTATTGGTCTTGTATTTGATCTATGTGGCCTATCGTCTACTCATGTAAATTTAGGAGCTGGAACTAGAAGCAGTGCGAAATAACGACGGTAACAAGTTAAACTTGGGTCATGCATTCATTTTGAGATCGATTTCATCAGTATGTTTGTTTTCAGGGGTTAGTTAATTTCGAAGGTTTGGAGAAAATGTGATATGCTGACTTGTAAAATTTGCCGGCTAAATTTTTAAGGGCTGTGCACATTGTGTCGTTCGGCAGGCAAGGCAAAATGAATGCTAGTAAGCTGATGTCGGTAAGCACATTCTCCAGTTAGCAAATTCACACCTTAGCCAGTAGATTATCTAAAACTGATAATGACGAGTAATTTCCGTGAACTAAGGAAGGCAAAACAAAGGTCAACTACCCACGCAGAAAGCGTACGTTGGTTTTGTGTGGTGCCACGTATTTAGTTGCGATAGATGAGCCTAAAATAATGATCACTTGTGGGATAATATCAACAACTAGTGAACCGTAAATTCGAAACTAGTACCTCCAGCTTGTCCATTGGCCTTTCATGCTATGGCCACTCCACCCTAACTTGTACATTTGACCCTTTGTGGGGGTCATATCACATGAGAGTTTCAAATATGTTCTGTACATCTTAAATTTCCGGACACTCACTGCATCAAAATAGACTATTTTGAACTTCTTTTTCCGAGGATGTAGACATCCTTAATAAAGTCTGTCGTGTCCAGCAAGTGACCACTCTACTTTTCACTTCCGTTACTGGCTGGGTCGGTTTTGTGTTCTCAATAAAAAAATTGCAGATTTGAATCCCTTCTTGGTTGTCACGCTGAATACAACTTGTGACACTCCACTTAAAACTCTAAATGGACCCGAGTACAGCAGAATACGTTTTCATTACATGACTGAGGAGCGTTAGTCCCTTATGTATGTGCAATATTCAAAATACTCATTGGGGGTTTTGAAGTGGATGAATGGAACCCATTTCACCTGAGCGCACAGGGTACCGTGCAAACGTGAGTAACGGAGAAACACTGTGAAAAATGAACAGGCGGTTCCAACGAATCGGATCAATTCATGGTCGTTGCCTCAAGTACAACCACTTAATGTCAATGTAGTAAAAAGTGTACCAATCCTAGAAATCTAGTTCAGTTTGGCTAACCAGCAGCCAATAAACTACTGGGGCAGCTTTCAAATTACTAATAACTACTTTCAATTTCGTGAAATTATGGTGAACACAAAAAGTGTCTACCATAGTGGTACTGTCATTCTGGTCATATTCAGAAATAAGCCCAATTTGCTAATTTGGAAAATGTCTGAAACTTGCAGGAACTTTCCTGTAATGCAAAACCACTTAATATAATCAGTAAATCAGTCAAATGTTCAAAAGCTCCGACTGTTCAAGGCAGGTTTGTTTATAGGTCAGTTCGACTTGCTAACTTGAAATAGTATTTAAAAATGTGTTCCGATTACGTTCAGAGTCATAGTTGGCTGTTGCTTGGTCAACTGGCCAAAGTAACCATAAGTTTGGCTGGTGGAAAGCGCATTTTTTGGCCTTAGATGGCATTTATGAAAGTACTACATTCGTCGGAGATAATTTACTTTTAAGCAGTCAGATAATGTTGACCGCTTTGCTGCTAACAAGTCCTTTGATCCTATGTTTTCCAGTCAAGGAATGTTGCGGTGTCGATTGTTATTCGATCCCAAGCTGCATTGAGTACTTCAGTGCAACGTGTCAGGCATACACAATACACAGTCAACATATACAGGAAGTGTGTTTACAAGGTGAGTAACCAAAACTCATTTGTGGTGCACATTTTGTGTGCTTGGCATTAGAAATACGAGCTCTGTATTGCATACATACAAGTACGGTTTTCTTGAACCTCTGGCATTAACAAAAGTATAGTAATTCCGTTACTAAGTAACTTCCCTAAATGCAACAACAGGAGATGTAATTTTGAGAAACTAATATTTCCACATTATAAAATAGCCCCAGTAAGCAGAACGTATTATCCAGAGGTCTGTGTATTGTTTTGGTAGCTGAACGCATTTACTAAGCGGCGCAATCAGCTCAGCCAAATTTGGCAACGCTGTTGTGTCCTCTCATGCACTCACTGCGCTCCGAAGAGCTACCCTGAATCCATCGTAAAGGGTAAGATCCATTTCAGGGTTCAGTTAAAATTATGTTGAACCAATTTGATTATTTTCATTTCAAAAGTGATATGTCACATAACGTCGGCGTTAGCAAACATTTTGGATACGCGAAGTATTACTGGAAGTCTCATAGATGAAAAGTTTCATTCAAGTGGTAGAATTCAGTTGTTTAAACTTTCAACAAAAAATGAGACCAAAGATAATCCCGCATTAGATTTTTTTTCAATTTCATGTCGACATTTATCAAAACGATCGATATCAGTTAGGTTCACTATATTGTTGTTTTGAAACATGCGACATCGGCCTTACACAGGCGACCTCACTGTCATACCAGGCGTTCCGATTTGATCCAAATAATTTCAGGCAAGTATGGTTTCAACTGTTCTTACAGAATTATCTTCAGTAGACTAGGATGCATTTGAATGGGATCGTTTTAGAAAATCCTCATATATGCGTTTTACATCAGACTGATTAGTACTTACAATGTCGTTCGAAATGAAGACTACCCCTAATTCAACCCTAACATAATGAGGCACGAGGATCATGCAAACTCCATCAGTAAATAGTGGGATGCTTCAGTATCTGACATTCCACTTCTGTTTAACTGAGAACATCATAAACGAGAGATTCA